GCAAAAAACTAATGAGACTGTTTTACCTATTCATGTATGAATTGCATACATTTGCAAATACATGTGGAGGCAACACTGCCATGTTGAGGCACCACTGATAAGTGTGGTTCCTAGCTATAAACTATTTGAGTTCTGAACTTTGGGATTTATATAGCTGTTCACAAACAGAGAGCAGGCTTATCTTAGGGTAGCCCTTTTCTCCTTACGAGTACAGCAATTTACCAGAAGCCCATATATCGCTATTACAAGGAAGCTGAAGACTTCCAGTGGGTGTGAACCAATCCCAAAATTGGCTCCACTTGGGAGAGTAAAGCAGATCCCCAGGTTTCATTTAACTTTAAGTAGTTTATTTGGACCAGACTGATCAAACCAAACTATTTACTTCACTGATGGTTGCAGTAGCTGGCAATGCATTATAAACTGTGTGTAGCCTCAGCTATATTCAGGATACAACACTATGTGTTCAGACAGCGGGATGAGAACTTCGCCACCCTACTTCTGGATCAAAATTGAGTCAGGCAAAATGCTGCTCAACCATTCACAAGGAGCTTTCTATTCTATGAATGAATACAAAGCTTCCTCTGATTAGCTGGATCAGGGATTGTGATGCCATCTGCCTGCCTCCCACCTCAGCCAATCAGAGGAAGCTTTGTATTCTTTCATAGAATCAAAAGGTCCCAGTGAATGACTGAGCAGAGCTCAGCCCAACTTGAAGTTCTTGTCCCGCTGTTGGAACACAGTGTATACTGTAGTAGCTAAAGCTACAGACAGCTTATATAGTACACACAGCCACTGCATCCTTTAGCCAAGTAAATGGTTCATATGTATGAGCTTGGACCAAACAATCTATTGAAAGTTAAATGAAACATGCAGATCAAATTGAACACCCCTTTATTTGTCCTGTTGACCAACCTCACCAGAACAGAAAGTGATGGGAAATACATTATTGAGCAAACAGAACAAAAAATATAGGGAAGGTTTCAAATAGGAACACCTATTTTGGATGACTTTTCACTAAAGTCCCACTGTGTCTACAAGGCAGGAGATGAAGGTAAATTAAGGTAAATCTCCCCAATAGGAAACAAATACCAAAGAAAAAACATGACAGGTATTTAAACCTTAAACTTTCCCTCCTCTATCCAAAACTAAAAAAAAGAGATCATTGCTTCTGATTGATATTCTCACTGTTTTCCTCAACCCTTTGGTCTGATTATATGGATTGCACAAACTATTCAATTTTGAGTGTGGTCTACGGATATGTTGACCCCTCAACATATAGTAACCCATGCTCACATGTTGTAAACTTTACTAGTTTGATTGTATCCCTGTTAAAATCAATAAAAATCTATGAGGACCCTTGAGAATGTCAGTTTGGACGAAACTAGTTGGGAAAGAGCCTCAGTAATGACGTCACGCCGCTACACGATTATGGGTTGTCAGTGGCTCTCTAAGTGAGTTTTTACTGTTTTTTGCTGTCAGATTGTTTTAACTAGATGACGGGCTCTGTTCTACAATAAACCTTTACTGTATTTAAACTACTACACTATCACTGGCTTTCAGTTGGCTACCTGATGAGCTCTATCTGTTCCAGCAGAGTTGCCTTTTGCTGCTGCCTAAGAGTAATGATTCCAGCATGTAAGTGCATACATCTGGGGAGGATTTGTGCCTGAGAAACATGCTGTGTCCACTGTACTTTTACAGCTTATGGTCTAGTGAGTGTGCATTTGATTAAGGTGGTGGTACTCTGTGTTTTCATTACACTACAAGGATCTACTGGATGGTGGAAGATCTGTTTTATCTGAATATATATAGACTTTGATTTAAGAGAAACTTCACATTTGGTACATTGAACACTGTTTATTTATTTATTTGTATGTTTTTGCTATATTCACTGTCGCTGCATCATTTCACGATATTGTTAGTTTTTAGGTTTGGGTATATCAAACTTTGTTTGCCAGCAGCCACACATGTTATTACAGCACAGATTCATCACAATACGTTTAATAAAAATCTACTGAGTGAAACAAAATAGAGTTGGTTTAGTTAGAGTTTTATATTTTAACTTAGGAGTAAGCTACTATGGTATCCTTCGGACGACATTATTTGGAACAAAACATGTAAGGACAGGGTCAAGCAGTGACGTCATCACGCCAGCTCAGATAAGCAGTATTTTTTGTTAATGCCTGTCCTCTGTTACACTGTATGTTATTTGGATTTTAGTAAAACTTGTCACATATGAGGTTCCTCCTTCTTCTTTCCATATGCAAGACCTGGTTGTAAAGTAAACGATATAATGCATAGAGAAAGCCATCCATCCCCCTGAGAGGGATTAAAAAGGATTTCAGACCTTTTGTGCTGTGAGGTTGTGGGTTCTGGTAAGCATGTTTATGTGGTGGAGGTTGAAGCACTAGAGAAGGTGAGACTGGAGACTCGTTAATATTCACGTTTACAAGTGGGTGCACATATTTTGGATCACATTTAGATTTTTTATGGACTTGTTTTATTATTTGTTTTCACATCCATATTATATTACTGAATAGATATAATACAACACAACACATATTGTTTTTTAAACACATATTTTATACCTTGGAAGCATAAGGCAGCATTCAGGAAACATGCCAAGTGCTCCTCTTTTATATTGTACGCAGAAGACTCAATAATCATATCCATCAGGTTACACTAGAAGAGCTTTTGGTCCCCAGACGCAACCCTCTCTTTGTTCTTATGAGATGAATGGGAACCCCCCTCTCTAATTTACCTGCTGCTGCAAAGATAATATCACATTCCAGTTCAAGCAATTTTCATTGAGCCGCACACAGTTCAGACCAGTTTACAATTACAACATACGTATATTTACTCTCTGCTATAAAGAGTAACACAAACCTAGACTATAGGACAGGACCACTCCCAAGTAGGAAACCCAGGCTGGCCATAATCACCATTCTCGAGCCTTCCTGTATTGTTTCCAGCCTCGGATGAGGTGTCAGGAGGAGGGATGGTTTCATGGTACTGCAAGACGTCTCATGATTGGAAGGAGCTTGGGGAGAGATTATGATAAAGGATATAATCTGTGGGGGATACACTGTGTGCAATGCAGCATGATACTGAAGACTTAGATATTTACACCCACCTTAACCACAAAAAAAACCTGTTCATTTTACTGGAAGAAATGAAAAGCCTGAATGCTTTGTATGCAAGAGGATTATTTTTAAATAGTAAAATTTAAATTTAAAAATAGTTACATTTTCTTTTAGTTGTATATATATATATATATATATATATATATATATATATATACAATGTCTATAGAAAACATTGCATGTCCTAAGGAATGATTGGTGTTTATCCCGGAGATAAAGAGCTGTAAGTGTTTAATGCTAAATGAAAAGAGGAAAAAGGGAGAATATTCAACATTTTTTTTTTGTGGTTCCCAAAACAATGGCTCCATCTTTCATCTCACATTCCATTAGCAATACTACGTCCCCTGGGCTTACAAATCCCTTGGAAGTGTCTGCTCTGTTGATGACCTCAGTTCTTCATTAGCTTTATAACATGCTTGAGGCTGCCTACGGTGGATTGTGCAAGGATGTGGCTCTCACGGCTCCTGTGTAACAATACTGAGCGTCAATAAGGCATCACCACCACAAATTCGAGGTTTCCTTAAAACACACACAGGTAGAATGCATATAGAATAATTGGTGTTTACTAAAATAAATCTCACGCATCCCAACAACTATTGGTGAAAGCAGCAATACAATAACAAGAACGGTATTAAAAGAGGATCTCTAAAGAGAACTGATCAAGATGAAACAGACACCTGATGTAAAAAATGAATATCCACTCCTGACTTGTTAAAGTAGAGCTCCAGGCTCCCCCCAAAAAATTAAAAGTCAGCAACTACAAATCCTGTAACTGCTGAATTTTAATGTAAGGACACTTACCTGTCCAGGGATCCAGCAATGTCCTCACCCGAGCCAATTCTTCAATCAGCTTCAGGTGCAGGCAGTGCCATAAGGGAAAACTGACGGTGTCCTACTGCGCCCTGCATGAAGCGCACCATGCTTTGTGAATGGTCCTGCAGTCATCTGGGAGCTGTGAATTGTTCCAGAAGGCTGCAGGGGGAGAGGAGGGGTGGCCAAAATTCCGGCTCCGATCACCAAACTAGAAGTGGGAGCTGGTACCTGATTTCCTTGAGTGATCTGGCTAGTAACATACCTCCGGTATAAGCCCTGGTTCACACTGTGCAGGCTGGTTGCGGGTGCAGGAATTGCATCTGTTTCCACACCCATAACCACCCGCAGCCAAATCATACTGCTCTTACAAGACGCACAGGGGTGGAATTTATTCTGAATGGCATCGCCATGCATCACCACAACAGCGCAAATGCGGATGCGGGAACCACAGTTAAATTGCATGGTCAAATAAGACCATGAGATTTCTTTGCGGTCGCATTTTAAAATGGTGCATGCACTTTTTTTTACATAAAATGCAGGCATGGCAGCCCATTCATTCTGCACATTCTCAGTTTAGTGTGTATTGCTAGAGAGGTTAATTTTTTTTCTTGGGAGAGTGCATGGGATCAGCACAGAGCCAATCAGCACTGTCCAGACAGAGGTTAGGGGTTTTGCATCCTCCTATAGCAGAAAGAAAACTCCTCCTACAAGCTTTAACAAGTGCTCTGCTGAATGTGTTCTGCAGCAGGACCTTACCTATTCCTCGGTTCAGCGCTGTACAGTCTTCCCGCGCCGGCATCTTTAGTGTGGGCCTCCGGCTGTGACTTCATGTGTCCCAGAAGACGGCCATTCACAAAGCGCAGCGCTTTTTGCGCATGTGCAGTGGGCACCCGGCTGTCACAGCCGGGTGCCCACACTAAAGGAAGGACAACTACGTGGAAGTGGGAGCAGGTACCTGTCAAATTCAGGTACCCGCTAACCCTCCCTTCCCAAAGGTCCACAGTCTGGTCATCTTCTGCACTGTCTGCAGTCTCTTAGTCATCCCCTGTACTGTCTGCAGTCTCTGATCATCCCCTGTATTGTCTGCAGTCTCTGGTCATCTCCTGTACTGTGTCCGCAGTCTTTGGTCATCTCCTGTACTGTGTCCACAGTCTCCGGTCATCTCCTGTACTGTCTGCAGTCTGGTTATTTCCTGTACTGTGTCCGCAGTCTCCGGTCATCTCCTGTAGTATGTCTGCAGTCTCTGGTCATCTCCTGTACTATGTCCGCAGTCTCTGGTCATCTCCTGTAGTATGTCCGCAGTCTCTGGTCATCTCCTGTACTGTGTCCGCAGTCTCTGGTCATTTCCTGTACTATGTCCGCAGTCTCTGTATCTCCTGTACTATGTCCGCAGTCTCTGGTCATCTCCTGTACTGTGTCCGTAATCTCTGGTCATCTCCTGTACTATGTCTGCAGTCTCTAGTTATTTCCTGTACTATGTCCTCAGTCTCTGGTCATCTCCTGTAGTATGTCCGCAGTCTCTGGTTATTTCCTGTACTGTGTCCGCAGTCTCTGGCCATCTCCTATACTGTGTCTGCAATCTCTGGTCATCTTCTGTATTATGTCCGCAGTCTCTGGTCATCCCCTGTACTGTGTCTGCAGTCCATTGGTTCAGAATATTTTTTTTCTTGTTTTTCTCCTCTAAAACCTAGGCGCGTCTTATGGTCAGGTGCATCTTATGGAGCGAAAAATACGGTATTTGTCTTTAGTAAATCAACTCCAACGAATTCGTTGCTGTCTTAGCCTTCCTATTTGGTGATACTTCACAAGGACAGGAAGTGAGGAAAATCTTCCCTAAGGTGTCAAAGACAATTAAAAAAAATGGACAGCAGTTTTAATTGTTTTCCACTTTATTCAAAATGAAAATAATACTATCATGGTTGTAGTAAGGCTTCTACTTTTTTTCTGTGTGATTTATTTATTTATTTATTTCAGGAACTTATATAGTGCCATCAATTTACGCAGTGCTTTACATATATATTGTATATTCACATCATTCCCTAACCCTCAAGGGGTGTACAATCTAAGGTCCCTAACTCACATTCATACATACACATACTAGGGCCAATTTAGACAGGATCCAATTAACCTACCAGCATGCCTTTGGAGTGCATGATAATTATTACTGAGGTGTGACAAACATATAACACATGACAAGAGTGATGTTGAAGCAAAACGTCACCCAAAAGGGGATGTTCTGCTTTTCTGCCACTTGCCTCCTCTCCCACGTTTGGAAACGTTGGGGGGGGGGGGAGCAAGTACCTGGTTTGGACTGTTAGCCACTTGTGCCCAGATTGCCTAGGCGATTCAAGTGGAAATCCCCCCCCCCCCCCCAATTGCCCGCAGCTTTCTGGGACTCGTCACAGGTCCCAGAAGACTGCAGAATCATTCACAAAGTGCAGCTCTCACTTGCGGTGGGAAGCCTTGCAGCTTCACAACTGGCTTCTCTTACTAAGCATGCAGGCCCCGGGGACCCCATAACTGGTGAAGAACCAGCCCAGGTGAGGATGGTGCTGGATCCCTGGGCAGGGAAGTGTCCTTTAAATTAAAGTTAAAAAAATAAATTAAAGTTTAAATTAAAAAAAATTATAATAATAAAGTCAGCAACTATTATTTATTTATTTCAGGTACTTATATAGCCCTGTCAATTTATGCAGCGCTTTACATATATATTGTACATTCACATCAGTCCCTAACCCTCAAGGGGCGTACAATCTAAGGTCCCTAACTTACATTCATATACAAGGGACAGTTTAGACAGGATCCAATTACCATACCAGCAGGAGCGGACTGACAACTCATGGGACCCCCGGGCAATAGGGGATCATGGGGCCCCTGTGTCCTTGCCCAAACTCAAAAAAGCCTTTGAAAAACGTACCAGGGGCATCTCATGGGGGCCCCTACTGACTCGGGCCCTCAGGCAGTGCCTGAGTTTCCAAATGGTCAGTCCGCCCCTGCCTACCAGCATGTCTTTGGAGTGTGGGAGGAAACTGGAGTACTAGGAGGAAATCCCACATAGGCACAGGGAGAACATGCAAACTCCAGGCAGGAGGTGCTTTGACTGGGATTCAAACCAACAACCCTAGTACCGCCAGGTGGAAGTGCTAACCATTTAGCCACTGTGCTGCCAACTACAGTATTTGTTTGATTTTAATTCTTGGGGAGAGACTGAACCAAGTTTCAGAAGCTGAAAAGTAACAACCCGGTAGAATGTTCCATGAATGCACTTACATTCCCATGTGCAGGTATTTAACGCATACAATAAAAATATTTGAAATACCTGTTTATTCTGACTTGTATTTGCATGCTAACAAACATAGGTGTCAAGATACCAAAGACAAGGGCAGAACACTTACCACCTCCCACTTACCCCCCGAAACTTTGTTCTCTAGGTGGAGCCTCAACATAAAGTAATGGCAGATATATAGAGAGGAAAGGTGAGCCTGCTGGCTAGGTGCTCCTGGTTCAGGTAGGTGAAGACATAATTGGACAGACATCTGTCTTTCTTCTGACATCATGCAGCGTTTTTGTCAGGATTAGGCAAAGTTAAGAGGCCAGCTATTTTTATGAACATTAAATGGATTATCCCTTGATAACAGGATGTTTATGGCATTGTAATGCTTCCAGATTCTGGCACAGGATCTTTGTCTTAAAGTGAAGTTAGTACAAAATAAAAACATTTAAAACACTTTGCCGATGGTATGCACTAAATACCTGTTACATGGATATAAAAGATACCAGTTCTGCAATCTCATTATTTGATAACTGCTATAATGACTTCTTTGAAGGTGTACTAAAGTGTAATAAACACAGCCAGTAAACTCCTCCTTCAACTGTGGGAACCTAGATTACAGAGGGACTCAAAGTAGTCCTGGCATTTAAAGCTGAGCAAATATAAATGACACACATTCATGCAGAGTTGTACTTATTAAGAGATTTATAAAATGCAACTACTGCAAACACCCTAATTTGACTTTGTATTGACTTCTTGAAATCCTCTACACAGCAAGACTCAGACTAAGAGAGGGCTAGCCAGGATTGGAAACCAACTAAGTGTGTTACATACAAGAAAAGACAGGAAACATGCTGACGAGAGGAGAGATCAGAGTGAGCAGAGAGATGACCTTAACAGGCTCCTGCTGCTCCATCAGCAAGCTGAGTGTGGAGAGAGGTCATTACTGCATTTCTTAGGGCTCATTCACACCAGGTACATTAACAATGCACTTGACAATCTTATTTATAGGCATGTGCTTGTGATCGGCTGATTTTTTAAAATCTTATCAATGTGCACACACATATATTATAGGTACAGGGGTATGGGGAACAATATTTACTAATTATATATGCAGACTGTGCTACCTGGTTAGTAGTTCTGTAGAGTTAAAGAAAACGTATAGTTTGGCCCTGCTTTTCCTATGGATCATGGGAGTGCAGTTCATTCTGCGTTCCTGTGACCCATTTTCATCACATACCCAGTCTAGGCTCTGGAAAGATCCTGACCATATGGTGGGGATCCACCCAGAAATCTGACCATCAGCTGGCTCAGCCTCTTAGCAAACCACTGAGAGCCTGTGCCAGCTGCTCCCCCCCCCCCTCAGCGTGGCCCTCCAGTGAGAGCTGGAGGGGCAGAGCAGAGAGCTGGTGACTGACAGTCACTAGCTCTCTGCAGACTGAAGACCGAGAAATGAGCGATCAGTAGTCTTTAATCGACCATTTCTCAGTCTTAGGGTACATTGCATGTTAAAAATAACTGTTGTTGACATTTGTTTCTGATAGCAAAAAAAAAACTTAATGCTGGTAAAAATGGGCACTGCATTTAACCACGTTTACACACATCAAGCATTTGGGTGTTTATTCATTTCATTGGCCAGAATAAATAATTTATTCTTTTCATTGACATGAAAAAACGCCATAGCACTAAACGCGCCTAACATTAACACGTTTTTGCCGCGTTTCACATTTTTCTCTCAAAACAATCCTCCCCTGAACGAGATTCTTCTGCATTCAGGAATGGAGCATTTTACTGTCTCTAAACTATGCTGCTCCTAAACTCTGGTAAAAGCCTATGGGAGTCATTAACTAAAACTGTAGAGTGCAAAATCTGGTGCAAATTTGTATAGAAACCAATCAGTTTTCAGGTTTTATTGGCTACCATGCATAGCTACACCAGATTCGATTCTGATTGAGCCAGTTGCATGGACACACAGGTTTTTATTGAACTGAGTTCAGAGGCTTTGGCAAAAAAAATGCCAAAAGCTCCTAAATGTAAGTTTAGGAGCAGCAGTGCGCATGAGGCCTTAGAAGAAGCGGGGAACAGATGCAGCATTGAAATGAAGCTGCATCCCACACAGGTGAGTATTTTTTTTTCCACAACCCCATACTTCTCTTTTAAGCTGGCCATACATGGATCAAAATTCATCTGGTTCAGCAGGAACAACACGAATTTTGATTCATGTATGGGCATCCTGGTTGTACACAGGTCAACCTATCAATGCTATTCTCTTAATGTAAATCTACACTGACTAAATTAAGACAATGGACCCTTTAAGTGACCTATCCTGTACTTGATTTCATATTAGCAGTTGTTAAAGCCCAATTGAAATCACACAGATATTCAATGAGATATAGTGCCTACAGTCTGCATTCTTTTATAGCAGTTGTGCAGTGTATATATGCCTAACTATGCTTGTGCAGTCCAACAGCCAACCGTTTGACCACACTACTTAGTCACTTTCCTTTCATTCCCAACACTACTCCATTCAGTTGTTGGGAAAGAATGGAAGTGGAAGCCCCATGTTCGCTCAGATCACGGGTTAACGCAGGACTCCCCCCATACCCCTATAAGTCAATTTTGGGTGTCTAAATGGCCAGCCATCAATCCCCAGAATTGTTTCATGGGAGGCAGAGGATTTAGTCATATGCTTCCCATAACTGGAAATATTTCTCTTTACTCCCAGCAACCAAGCAGAACTGCCAGGGAGCCATGGAAAGGTGATATCATTACGACATGAGCATGAACCTGAAATGGTCATCGTCCCATTCTCTGTACTCTGCTGGATGGGCCAATGGCTGTTATATGTGAAGATACCAACAAAAACCTACTGGAAAAAAACAAGAAATAATATGGTTTGGGTTTGTTTTCACGAATAAGACATATATGTTCGTGAAATGGATGTTTGATGGTTCAGCAGTTGGATCATGACTACATCTGATCACCATCTACTGTCTATGGGCAGCTTAACTTTATGACAGTATGTCACAAATTTTCCTGTTTATGGACCATGTCACAGCAGACAAAGATGATAAACCCTGAAAAACCTTTTAAACTGAGATAACACATTTTAAGTATAATGTTCTTTTAAACATACTGTTCCTATTAGAGAGTCCAGTGACTTTTACAACAG